CATATAAGTACTTGTACAAGTTAAACTACCCTATCATAGTATAATATTAGTCGACACAAACTTAGATTTCAACTAATCTTTTATAATCTAAACTACCTATTATATAAGTACTTTTACAGTCTGAATTACCTACCATATAAGTACTTGTACAAGCTAAACTACCAATCGTATTGTAACTACCTACACATGATTCTAACAGTAAAATGTAGTCCTCCATCTTGGTAATGTTAAAATCCCCTGAAGCTAACACAATCAATGTCAAAAGTCTCTTGAGCAATTACTTACATAAGACAATCAATGTATAATGCTCGCGAATCATGTAACAAATATCAGCAAAAATGAAGCTTACTGTTGTAAACGACTTAACGAAAACATGTAAAATTACTTGTAGTTCTCATTGTTTCATGCGAATTCAAATTCAAATTTGGATACTAATCTGCAGGAATCGCGAGGAAAATTCAAAACATGAGTCAGATAGAGTTTTTGATGAAACGATGAGATTTGATGAGTAACTTTTTATTTTATTTTAATATAACGATATATTTTACACTAAAAAAGATGAGAGTTTTTTATGAAATGATGAGATTTGATGTGTAAGTTAAAGTTTCATGTTAATTCTGGAAGAGTCATGATAAAACATTCAACGACAGCCGGTGCAATTTCATTTTCAAATTATGGACACTTTAATTGCCCTACTTATTAGACCCTACCTATGACTGTGCAATATATTAGACCCATATCAAAACATGCGGATCAGGATCCTCTCCTGAGCAAAGGGTGAGGATTCTCCTGACCAAGCCCATCGGGCAGTTGAAATTTTATCCAACGGCTACCAATACGGGGCTCCTCTAAAAGTTATAATAATTGTAGCCGTTGGATAAAATTTCAACGGCCCGATAGGCTTGGTCATGAGGATCCTCACTAGGGATGGGCAAATACCTATTGGTTATGGGTAACCGCGGTTATCTGCCTATTTAAATTTGACGGTTACGGTTATGGGTAACCATTTAGATAAATAAATGGTTATGGGTATAACCATTTATCCATGAAATTTAAATGGGCGGTTACGACTATTACCCGCGGTTATAAACGGGTACCCATTTAACCGTTTATTTTAATATATATAAAACTAAAAAAAAAAAAAAAATTAGTTTCTAACTAGGTTTAGTATCCCGAGATATATTTGGTTATAAAGGGCCATATAAAGTGTATATATATGCCTCACTTGAGAGAAAAATATAGTTGATAGAACGGGCTAATGTTTAATATATGTGATTGAATGTGCTAAAGCATTAAAATGTTCAACAATTTTGTTTTGGAGTCTTTTGGAGTATTGACCAATTCAAGATAATGATTACCTTGAGCATTTAGAAACATGTTATTATCAGATATGCGTACCTATATATATATATATATATACACATATATATACACATATATATATTAATTGGCCTCGAATTTTCAATAAATATTTGACCCCAAAATTAGAAATCGATTAAATGGCTTGGATCGATGAACATATGTTTCTAAATAAAAATCCAAATATTTATCAAAGTAGCTTATTAGCTTACTAATGCGTACTTACATATATATATATATATATGTATATATGTATACAAGAATATTAATTAACCTACAACCGTACATGATTCTTGTAATAGATTGACTGTCAAATAATTGGGTGACCTCGCTTATATTCATAAATAATATTGCCGTTAATATAAAAATACATGTTAAATGTACTTATAAAGGTATTTAGTAGTTAGAAAAAAGAAAATTATGACAAATTTCTTTTTAAATTTCAAGTTGTTAAAAAAAGAGAGTTTTAACGAAAAGCTCACGGTACTGTTCACTTTAACGAAAAACCACATTTTTACACTAAAAAGTCAATCATGGTACTATTCATTTTACCATTTATTTTGTCCTTATAATTAAAACTCAAAGTTTTCAAATCCTTTTCATTAGTTTTCCTTTAAAAAAAAATAGGAAGAGGGGTAAAAAAAAAAAAAAAAAAAGGGTGTGATATCCACACATCCCATCTTACTTCTCATACACCTTTTTAATTTTCGATCGTCGGATCGGATGAATTGAAGAAGATCAACGGTGTGGGAAGTAAAATTGGGTGTGTGGATAGCACACCCCAAAAAAAAAAAAGGTAAACGGGTATGCGGTTATGGGTAAATGGGTATGTAGTTATGGGTAAATGGATATGCGGTTATGGTGTGTGGTTAACCGTTTATAAACGGTTATGGGTATGGGTATATCAGTTTATGTAAATACCCAACGGGTAAACGGTTATGCGGGTAAAAACTTAAACGGTTATGAGTAAATAACCTTGATTACCCGCCCGCCATAACCGTTGCTCATCCTTAGTCCAAACAGTAGAAAGGCAAACTGCCAACAAAAGAAAAGGTTTGGTAAGTAAGATGAAATTCTCACCAAACTTTTTTACAAATAAATAAATTAGTTAATTAATAGTTTACTTAAATATTGTCCTTAACCCATCTTACTTTTTTATTTCTTGATTGACTTATTGGATAAGAAAAGTTAGAATTAAACTAGCTATTTTTCACATAATACTTATTTATTTTAAGTGGTGGATGATTTAAATTAAGTTAACTTATCAGAATGTCATAATAATTAGATAATAAAATTGTGATCTAAATAAGTTAAACTTGAAGTTTTCAAAATGATACCTATGAATAAAAAAGAATATTACTAAATTGCATTTTTGGAGTAAAACTACTAAAATGCAACAAATAACTAGCCAAATGGGTTAAATGTAAAGAGTAACTTGTTGATTTAGTTTATGAATTATCACGTAAGTGAAAATTAAGTACTTAAACTAATTTTTCGATAAAAAAGAGTCCTTAAATTCAATGAAAACTACTAATTTCATATCCTCTATTATATTCAAAGCTATTCTATATAATTTTTTTGTCAACTTAAATCAGGTGACGTACAATGTAACACATTTTAAAGAGTAGTACTGTCATTTTTTTTTTTTTTTTTACCTATAGGTGTTTAACGTTGCATATTGATTTTTTTTAATTTACATTTAAAAAAAAATCATCAGCCTCATAAAAAATTATCAATCTACTCTTCAAAATGTAAACTATTAATCTACTCTCAAAGTGCATCACCTTCAACTCATGTGACTTAGACTAACGAAAATTGATTAAAACAGTTTTTAATGTAATATTAGGAATGTATTTAGTATATTTTAATTAATTTAAAGACTGATTTTCGTAGTTTAAAGCTTAATTTTCACTTGAATTATAATTTAAAATCGACACATTACTCGAAGTAATATGACTACGGCACCATGGCAATGGTAATTATCGAGAGGAAAAAAAAAAGAGCAATTAAACATACCTGTGGCTGAAAATGTAATTCACAACCAAGTAGGTTAATTGCTCGCAGTTTGACACACTTTTAACTGTTAAAAAAGACCACAAGCTTATTATGTATCGTGCAATTAGAAATAATTTGAAATTTAAAGTTTAAAATTAAATATAAATAATACTTAACGAAAACTGATCGCATGATATAGATAAACGATCATGATCACGGAATCTCGCATAATCCTTTTCTACGAAGAATAGTTGGAAGTCCGGCTTTTGAGGGGGCAAGGTGGAAGAGGTTGATTGGTCCAGCGCTTCTAATTTCTACACCAACTCCAACAATCTCTATGTATAGAAGTTCGAGTTGGTGTATTTTACAAAACATGTGAGAGGGGTTTGGCAATGGAAAGTGAGACTTTTGCCCTATTGGGTCCATGCTTTCGTATATTTTACAAAACAAACCAAAATTATGGACTGTGAGCGGACTTTTCACCAACTAGTTTTTCGTTTAGTGAAACAGAACAAATTTGATAAAATTTGAAATATCGTTAGAATTATAAAGATTATTTGTGTGAAATTTAGGTAATTATAGTACACGTCTAAGTTTGTAGACCCAAAAAGACAAAAAAGGGGTTGGTTTTTTTTTTTTGTTTGGAAACAAAAGGGGTAGGTTTCAAATATGCATAAATTCGCCTATGTAACTGTCCTATGCCACTATCACCCATTAATCATAGATTAAAGTAAATTATCGTGCTAATATTGTAAAATATTGCGCCCAAAACATGAACTGATAGAGAATCTATAAAGAGTCATACTTTTGAGAGTCTTCTTAATCACAAGTAATGGGTAATGTGAGTTTCTTTGGACACTCTGTCACCTCACATATTCAAGTAAATTTATGTGCCAATATTATAAAATATTATGCCAAAAACATGAGGTGACAGATAGTTTGCAAAGAGTCACACAACTCCCAAAATTAACACACAAAAAAAGTGTCGAACTTCCAAAATCGTTAACATTACATGAGTGTTTTAAGTTTCTCAACCAAATTCCTAGCTTAAAAAAGAAACCATCATCATTATCTTAGCTAGTTTGTTCAAAAAAGAAATCATAATTATTATCCTCAGCTCAAAAAAAAAAAAAAAAAAAAAAGACACAAAAGAATGATAGTAAAATTACAATTGAAGATTAATGAAAAGGGGGACGTATGTAAAAATTAAATAAACAGTTGTTCAACGCATGAAATATTAAGTTTTAAACAATAGGGAAGTCCACATGACAACAAATAAGCGAAAAAAGCAAGTTTAAAAAAATAGCTCGATTGGTTATATAACTTTTCCAACCCCAAACATCACATAAAACTAATAAATAAATAAAAAAACAAATTTAGTTTATAAATTTGAACCTGTGGGCAATAAAATGGCAAAAAAGCCCCACATGAAAAGTCCAAAGACGTGTTCTAAGTGTTTTGGGGAACGTATACACTTCACAGTCACAGGTCCTTGTCGTTTTCGAAAAAAATATCAAATTTTATAAAAATCAATAAAAAAATTAAAAATAAAAGCAAAAATAAAAAAATAAGTCTGGTCTGAGATCTCACGGGATATAAAAAGGGATTTGGAACATGATATTTAGGAGTTACGAAACAAAAAAGACACGGAGGTCGGAGGGTTCGCGTGTGTCTGATTCCTGCAGTGTCACTCGTCCGCGGCGGAAGATCAGAACCGAAAAATAAAGGACCCGCTTTTATTTCTCTTTTCATAATTTTGTATCGATTTCAATGGATTTGTGATTCGTTCTCTGCGCATGCAACAGCTCACTACTACATCTGTACATCACCAGTAGCTGACTACCCCTTGAAGTCCGCCTTTCGACTCTCTCTCCCCTCAACTGTTTCTCTCCCTCTCTCTCTCTCTCTCTCTCTCTCTCTCTCTCTCTCTCTCTACTTTCTCTCTCTGAAAAGATTGTTCTTGCATTTTACCAAATCCTACGGTCTTCATTGATTCTGGGTTGGGCTTGCACTTAGTGAGAGTGGCTGGCTTTTCTTTCTCTTCTATTCTCAGCTGGTGAATCGGACGGTCGTCAAGGCTTGATCTTTCATCAAATCTCTGCTTCTTGTTTTGCTTTCTTTTGGAGATTCACAGAGGAAGGCCGGAGCTTTTATTGTTTCCATGGTGAGTTTTCTCTTTTGGGTTCTCTTCGGTGATTGATCAGCTTCAAGATTCTTCAATTGTTTCTGCAAAAAAATGGAATAAGAAAATTAACTTTCTGTATGTGGGTTTGTATTGTTTTTTGCCTAATTAAGATCTAATAAGGTTCATTTCTATGTGGAGGTTTTCCCAATGATGGAAAAGTTTAAAAAGAACATAACTTTATTTGTTTCCATTAATAAATTTCTTCAAACTTTTATGGGTTCTGCATTTTTTCTTTTATTATATTTATTTATAGGATGAGCTCTCAAACTTGGATTTTGGTGATTTTGTGGATATATATATATATATATATATATAATTCATGGGATATTGTTCTTGGTAGCATTTGGTTGGAATGACAAATAATATTGGCTTCTGTTTGGTGCAGCTTCTTATGAAAATAAAGTAAAAAACTTGGTTGTCCATGAAGTCACCAAACTCATGGATATGGATGTTCAAGAAAAAGAATTCTTTTTCTGATGGGGTATGATCCAAAATTTCTTACCCTTTTTTGTTTGTTTTTGTATTGTATTAAGGTAAATTGGAGCCAAAAGGTTGTGTTCTATTGAGTAACCCATCTCAATGTACGATGCCGGTGCAGGGTAAAAGCGGAATGAAGATGAAGCAGCTGTCATTTATGGGAGTTGTATGTACAGTAATGTTGTTCGTTGTGTATAGAACCACCAACTATCAGTATCAAGCTTATCAGCAGACAGAGGTACCATCTTACACACAAGAATTATGATAACAATTTTACTCCATTTGATTCGCCGATTGAAATGATTTTTCTTGGGTTCAAAGAGAAACTCAAAGTATAGTAGTAGTAGCATTAGTATTGATTTTTGTTCGAGTTTGACCCTAAGTGTTCATAGTAGTGATAATTCGAAATATTTCCAGCTATTTGATATCATGATAATTCTATAAGTACTGTTTTCGTTGCCCTGGTGGTCAGTCTACTGATTGTAATTTGCCCTTTCGTGTATTAGATGGACGCAAAGTGGAATCCCTTTGATACAGTGAAGGTAGTGCTTCGATCCTTGTGTCCATGTTGACAAGTTAATGTTTTCTTGCCTTTCTATAATACCTTAAAGTAAGGCTTCAGTAGCACTCCTCCGTTGATTTCCAAATTACTGAGATTACCTGTCCGATATGAAACTCTTGTATGATTGAATCATCCATTGTGAGGATGTTTCTTCCTTCTTTATATCCTGAGGTTCTTCTGATACTTGCCTCAGGAAATTTTTGTGACTTCGAGAAAGTTGGACGGTTTACCACGTGGCATTATACAACCTAGGTCAGATTTAGAGCAAAGGCCTCTATGGTTGACAAGTAGTTCAAGGTTAAAGGTAAGATTCTGATCCTCTTGTGCAGTCGTGCTTAACATCGCCTTAAAAGTTATTTCTTGCATGTCAACTTATCCTCGGTAATAGAAAGTTGATAGATTATTTCTCATTTACTGATAGACTGCAATGTGTAAACTAAAGTTTGTTCATTATGAACTGGGCTTGGACGCTCTTTGTGATTTTGGGTGGTTATTCTGATTCAGGTCGGTGATTACAGCAACCGTAACTTGCTGGCTATTCCGGTTGGTATTAAGCAAAAGGATAGTGTTGATGGCTATTGTGGGAAAGGTGAGTAATACATTTTTCTCCTGTTATGTTCCAAAGGACATCAAGTGACACTAGCCTAATTTTATCCATTTCAGTTTCTTCCAGAAAATTTTACCGTTATCCTATTCCATTATGATGGGAATGTTGATGGGTGGTGGGATCTTGAGTGGAGCAACGACGCCATACACATAGTTGCCCAAAACCAAACAAAGTGGTAAGTTAATAGTTCCATTCATGATTCTAATTGTCTGGCTTGAATATATAACATACATGTACTGCTGCAAGGTGCTCGTTTGATCTTGTTATGAAAAACATGCAAATTCTCTTCTTCTGAAAATCTCACAGTTGCATTTATCAAAGGGGCAGTTCCTACAAGTTCTGTTCCTGATTTTTTGTTCCGTTTCTCATTACTCTTTCCTTCATCCTAGATTTTATGGTTTGTTTTCAGGTGGTTTGCCAAACGCTTTCTACATCCAGATATTGTGTCCATTTATGATTACATATTCCTTTGGGATGAGGATTTGGGGGTTGAGAATTTTCATCCAGGAAGGTAATTTAGGACGTTTTATGCAACACATACTCTGATTAGGACAGTTTTTTAGTTAGTTATTCGTAATTACACTATAGTGAGGGCATATCAATTAAATGTAAGTTTATTGCATTTTCTTGTACTGAAATATCCTTTTTAGGACTATAATTCAGAAGATTATCTGTTTGAAATTATTTTAATTAGTTAACTTGTCCGAAATTTTTTTAAGAGAGTTTATTTTGTCTAAATGCTTTAATTTGATCCCATAAGCAGCATATGGTTTTATTTTCATGCTATTTATCTGGATCGTATTTGGCACGATAGCCGGTAACTGAAATTTTTGTTTTGTTTCCCAGATACCTTGAAATTGTAAAAGAAGCGGGACTGGAGATATCTCAGCCAGCTTTGCATCCAAATTCAACAGATATACATCATAGAATTACAATTCGTGCTAAAAAAAAGAAGTTTCATAGGTGAATATGGTGGTTTCAAAACAACTCTCGTAAAAGTCTATTTATTTAATTTTCTGAGTACGTGTTATCTTAATACAAAATTTTCACTCTTCGCAGAAGAGTCTATGACACCAGAGGCAGCACAAAGTGTACAGAAGCAAGTCAGGGACCACCATGCACCGGGTGAGTGTCATACTGGTTTACTGTATACTAGACACAGCTATTCCTTCAACGTTTGAAGAATTTGTTGGCTGTTTATATCTGTGTGATGACTAGTTGTGAGGTCTGACCTGCCTCATATGTTTTCTTGGTTTTACCACTGCTTCTAAAATCTGTTAAGGTGAGAGCTGACAATTATTCTATATTCTGAGACACTCTCATACGTGTGTAATTCAACTTTGCACTGGGATGTTGTGGATACCAGAACTTGAATTTAGGATCAAATGTTGGGATGTGGGCTAACTTTTATTCAATAGTCTAACACTGTCTTTTGTCGATTGTCATTCTGGGTGAAGAAAAGTTAACAATTAAGACAAAACATTCCAAGGAGTAATCTGATTTCCGAATTGCAAGAATCCTAATCAGTTGATTTTTTGGGATATAGTTTATAATTTTCTAGAATGGAGTGTAGGACTTGTTGCTTAGCCACTTAATTTTACAAATGCAGGTTTGTGGAAGGCATGGCTCCGGTTTTTTCAAGAGCTGCCTGGCATTGTACTTGGCATCTTATACAGGTAGCCGTAGTATCTTAGTCTGTTCTCGTCTACTATAATATATTGTTGAAGAAAACCTTAATCTTGCATAATTTAGGCGTAATACTATTTTGAAAATTATCTTTATTAAATCCTCACGGAGCAGCTTTCTTTTTGTTCAGAATGATCTTGTACATGGATGGGGTCTGGACATGAAACTTGGGTATTGTGCACAGGTAAGAGTTACTTTCCTGGTTCTTGTTAGGATCGATTTCCTCATTAGGTTGCTCGAGTTTAGGTTGCTAGAAATTGCTTAGGTTTCTTACCTTTGCTTGACTATTGCTTATTCGAATCAATAATCCCGAGTCAGTTTATACAAAATTCAGCTGGCCATAACTAGAATGTCACATTTTTCAGGGAGACCGTACCAAGAAAGTCGGAGTTGTTGATAGTGAATATATTGTTCATAAGGGAATACAAACTTTGGGAGAAGGTGGTTCGTCGACAAACAAGGTTAGTTAATCTCTGCCTATTCCTTGTCTGCTAGAGAAGGAAATTCTGGTGCTTGCAAGTGTTAGACCATAAACATCTCTTGCACATGCATATTTGATGTTTATCGGCGGCCAAGTTTTTTTCACTTGTTCTTTCACTATTAACATTTCCCATATTTCCTTTCCCTATTTCCAGGTTCCTGAGAAGAAGAGTAAGGTAAACTTCACAACAAGCAATAGCCATCTCTGTCTTCTTCGTTTTCCCCATCAAAAGATTCGACAATTACTAGCATTCTAAATTTGATCGTGTCTTCTTTCTTTCTTAATGATATACAGAAACGAGCTGCTCCTGGGCATGACATGCGAATTGAGGTGAGACCTGCTGTCCACTATGTAGTATAGATGCCAAAGTTATCATGCAAAACCGCCAATCTTCTCAACTTATTACCCTCAATATATGAGTGATGCTTTATTTACCAACGTATTGGTTTTTACATATGCAGATTAGGAGGCAGTCTACACGGGAGTATACAACCTTCAAAGAGCGGTGGAATAACGCAGTAGAAGAGGACTTGAACTGGATTGATCCATTTAAAAGCAGCCTAAAACGCAGGAAACAGCGTAGACGCAACAACCAGTTGAGCTCTTAACTTACAAATCCAACAGCGTAGACGCAGCTTCATTCAGAGGCGCTAGGTCTCGTCTATACCCCCATAGTTTGTGTAGCGTTTCATTGAACCCGTAATTAATTCATTATTTGAATTCTTCACAAGTTTTGTTCCTTGCAATTCAGATTTTGCCTCCCCACCTGTATCTTGTTCCGGCCACGTTTTTTGTTCCTTTCATTTTCCTTGCTATACAAAGTTTTATAGGTTTTGGTGCCAAATAGTCTTTGAAGATGACAGTGAATTTACTGTATTCAAGCCTGGACGAAGGAGGAAAGGGAGGACATCAGGCAGTCGACAATCGATATTCTATTTTCATGTCAAATTCTTATGATTTCTGGATTCAAAGTTTTCAAAATTTCAAAAATCAAAGAAAAAAAATGAATAGATGTAATTGAAAAAAGAGACAATAAATCCTTCTGGAAGCACATGAACAGCGCATCGACGCGTATCCGTGCAAATACTAAAGTCCAAGTCTTTCCAGCTGGTGCCTTCGTACAAATGACAAAGAAAGTAGGGAATTGATTTTCGAACTCTCGTTTTTATCTGAATTTTTCGTAATTCAGTTTGTTTTAGCTTGAGCACATTAAAAGAGAATCGGTGAGATGGAAACAAAACGATAAGTGCATTAGGAAAACCGAGAGTAAAAACTCCGCAAAACAAAACAGAGATGCTTGCCATTGGCCGTGGCATGCGACGCTTGCCTAATTTTTTTATTATTTATTGGAGGGTGACACCAATTTTAGGAAATATAAACAATAAAATTTGTTACAACCAAAGCAACAGCTAACAATAACATGAAAGGGTGTGTTATCCACACATCCTATTTTACTTCTCATACATCTTTTTAATTTTCGGCCGTCGGATCTGATGAATTGAAGAAGATCAACGGATAGAAATTATTAAGGGGTGTGTGAGAAGTAAAATGGGATGTGTGGATAGCACACCCCTAACAAGAAAGGAGAAGCATGTGGACTAATTCACCAAGCCTTTGCATTAAGTTTCTTTTTGTTTACAAATACGCATTTACAATACATCGAACCACACTAATCTATCGAACTTATCACCAACTAAAATATATTTCATTTTCATCTCGTAATTCAATACATTCTATTATGCTTAATTTCATTTTTTAATTTTTAAACGGTTGAAAATTTATTAGAACAGTAGTCACTTAGCGCTTAAACAATTCTTATTTTGTAACTCGTTCGAATACCTCTTTCAATCAAATTAAGATTTGGTAGCACTTCATCAATGTCATTGTCTCTTTTTTTTAAAAGAAAAGCAATGTCATTGTCTAAAAACAAGTAAGAACAACCACCCAAAATTAAAAATCAAATTTTCGTATATGCCCCCAAAAATCAGAAAAATCAAATAAAAAAAAGGCGGCATTGGCTGTCAATAGCTGACAAACAAAGAGTAGACGAGTCCTCCGCTTTCTCTCTCTAGGAAAAAAAAAAAAAAAAAACCATTAAACAAAGCAACCGTTCTACTCACCTTCTCTCTCTAGAAATTCCATTTCTTCTCCCCCAGACTTTCCTTCATTCTTTTGAGCCTGAAAATATATTTTTCTTCAATTTTGTTTCTTCCATCACAAGTTTTTTCCTTTATTCTCTGCCCGTCGTCTCAGATCTCTCAGACAAGCTCTGAGACTGGTCCTTTGGGCGCTCAAATCTCTCTCTCTCCGCCATGGCCGGCCGCTACGACAGTAACCCTTTTGCCGAAGAAGACGAAGTCAATCCCTTCTCGGTGAGTTTTCTTTCTCGATGATTATTGCTGCTGTTTCTGCTGAAATCAACTGAATTCAAATTGGGTTTTCCGATTTGGTCAATCTGGTTGACTAAAGTCCTTGACTTGCTGGGAATTTGGATTTGGATTTTGGAGATTTAAAGATCTGCATTTCGCTGTGAAATTGAAGTAAATCAAGTAAATTTACCTTAACCAACTTCGTAAATCTGCGTTTTTCGGGTTTTAAATGTATCAGTTTGCTCTAGATTTTATGACGTAATAACCTTATCTAAATCCAACTACGTAATTTGTTTTTCTTTGCAAATTTTGAGTTGGATATGTTTTGGGAATGGGATTCCAGAGTCTAAATAGTCTCTGGGCGACTAGGACTAGGATTGGGCTATTTAACACCAATCCCAGCCTGGATCAAACTTGGGGTTAATTAAGAACTGGATAAGCTGGGTTTATACCTTCCCTAGGTGGCCTTAAATGAGGACCTGCATGTATAGAACCAAGCCTTTCCCTAGGATTAGTCCAAGCCAAGCCTATCCTATGTATCAAACATGCCCATGTATTGGGTTTAATATGTTGGCTTCCTTAGACATTGTCGTTTGCTTGTGGGAAATGTTTTGGTGTGGGTTATTAACTATAGGTTTGACTCTAAGAGGACAAGAATGTTCGACTTCAGATACGACACTACATTGTAAGATATGATGTAGATTCCTGTAATCCAGTTAATAAAAGTCTGTTATACTTGAATGCCTCCATTCACAAGTCTTTGTTTCTAATTTCCGACACCCGATTACAGGTGGAGGGGATACGTATGAAAGGTCCCAATATTTAAAGTTTCTATTAACCTGTGAATCTGTGATGTTGTAATCTAATTAACATCTTTAGTGTCACCATGGAAGTTTACAAAGAAGAAGAAGGAAGCCGTTATCTTTGCTTGTGATATTTAATCTCTTCTTAAAGATAGAAAATGAGTTTTTCACTACAGGTGTTTTTGTTTGGGAATTAATATGAATAGAATTCTGTGAGATTCTAGATGCTGAATTTCTTTTTGGTCTTCAAATAGAAAATTTTGTCAGTCACATGAAATGCTGCTTCTTTGTATTCTGTCTTCCATTAAAGTTGTGCATTCTGTATGACTACACATAGGTAATGTAATTTGTAAAGTATCTTCTTGCTTCTTGCATCCCAGCTATGTATTATATTTTAGTGCACATGTAGATACCAAGCTATGTATATGTCTACCTTATTTCAGATGTAAGCTCTACCTTGTGGGTAAGGCATAGTGTGTACTCTGTCCATTGTAAACTTATCAGGATGAAACATAAATAATGGCTTTATATTTAAAATTTGATACTTAGCTTGCTTTTTATTACCCGTTGCTTGAGCTCTTATGATGTGATACATAATTAGCAGAATCCTGGAAGTGTTGCTCCTGCCAAAAACTCAAGACTTTCACCTCTTCCTCCTGAACGTGCTGGTTTCAACTACGGCCTTGGTGAAACCGTTGATATACCTATCGATGGAAATGCAGTAAGTTTTAATTTTAGGTTGTTAGTTAGGCAATTGAAATTGACTTCTTTTGTTTACAAAGTATAGTTTTTATTTATTTATTATTATTTAGGATTTGAAAAAGAGGGAGAGGGAACTCCAAGCTAAAGAAGCTGACTTGAGAAAGCGGGAGGAGGTATGACTTGAAAGAAACTCTAAATTCTGAATGTGTGAAATGATTCTTAAAAAAAGCATGGCACTAAATGTTTCAGTCAATTCCTTGTTATAGTTGCTTGTTCATCCAAACTAATTTTAACTGTCATCTTTTGCGAAATTATGCAGATTGTAAAACGGAAAGAAGCAGCTGCCGCACGTGGTATTTTACTTTGACTTTATCTTACTGAATCTCTCTTTCTCCTCATTTGGGGGAAGCTTAAAATAATGTTTTTCAAAACATTTACAAGTTCGATGTTCTTTGAAATTTTATGAACTAAAGTTTTCCACGCTCCCTTTTGTTTTGCAGCTGGAATTGTTCTGGAGGATAAAAATTGGCCACCTTTCTTCCCAATTATCCATCATGATATTGCAAATGAAATACCAATTCATTTACAGAGGCTGCAGTATGTTGCATTCACAACATGGTTAGGTGCGTCGGTCATTGTTTAATTTATGGATGTTTTAATTATGTGTCAACTTTACATCACAATTCTTATGTACGCTTGCTTTTATTATAGATTCATAGGTACAGTGGCTTTTTGTTCCCTTTTCTGGAAATCATGATTGTTTTCGTGGATCTTGGACTATGATTTTGAGGCTTGCAATTTGATGAAAGCCAAAACTTTTAACAATCATAAGTATAGAAATCGGTGGCAGTCTATATACGTATCATTACACGAACTTGGCTTCTAAAACTAACCTGTTGTGCTGAGCAGATGTAGTTTCTAATCATCTGTTTTTTTAGCATTACTTCATCTTGCCTTTTGGGTGTGAGCTGTGTGAGTCTATCTGTGTGGTGTGATGTTTTATATTTTATTTTATTGTTTATGTATCCTAAACTTCTAATCTAAAGTTCATTGAAACCTGTCTAAATTTTGTGATGATCGATGGTGTTATGCAGGAATTGTTCTTTGCCTTTTCTGGAATATAATAGCTGTTACTACAGCATGGATTAAGGGGGATGGTGAGTGTGAAATTGATCATATCCTTTGCAACTGTCCTGTACACAATCAAGTATTCATTTTGGATTCTATCCTCAAGTTGGGTGAAATTGATCATATCCTGATTTTGTAATGCAGGGGTAAAAATTTGGTTCCTTGCTATTATCTACTTCATAGCAGGGGCTCCTGGATCGTATGTCCTGTGGTACCGTCCACTGTACCGAACTTTCAGGTATATATTGCCCATTTTTATTAAATCCTGCCACTGCCCTTGTTCTCCGAGCTATTTGTCTCTGCTACTGGTATTGGATTTGGGTAGTGTGATAGTATTGGTGATGGTAATGAGGAATTGATCTGGTTCATTTGCTGCAAGTTCCAAGTTGTTAAGCAATGTTGTTGGACAACTTGGATTATATAATAACCTCTGTTCTGACATCTAGTGCTAATGCATATGTTATTGTTTCAACCATGCAGAATGTACCTGCTGAATTTGTAGTTAGCTATGCTCTTGATTTGAATTCTCTCATTTCATCATCTTGCAGGTCTGAGAGTGCTTTGAAGTATGGATGGTTTTTCATGTTTTATATGGTAAGCTGTCCCAAAAAAAAATTGTTGTAGTTGGTATGCAGTTCACATTGTCGTTTAGCATAATTGGCTAGTCACATATTCTATTTTCTTCTACCTACAGCTCCACATTGGGTTCTGCATCTTTGCTGCGGTGGCTCCTCCGATATTCTTCAAAGGGAAATCTCTCACGTATGTATTTTAATTGAATTTCCCTTGCATTTTTTAGACATTTATGATTTATCAATGGATTGTTTATTTGGTGGATGCTGATGGATACACGAAGTGAAAATGTTTTCTCCCTTGTATCCTGCTTATGATTCTCTGTCGTGTGCCTTTCAAACAGTGGCATTCTGGCTGCAATTGATGTTCTGAGCGAACATGCTTTGGTTGGGGTAAGATTGTTGGTCCAAAAGTATATTTTTCTTCTAAAATTTTGTATGGCTGCCCCACCCACATGAGTGTCGCCCATTCAGATACTTTAGAGGATATGGGTTGAAAGCATATCCTAAATGTTTTCGAAATATTTAAGGGAGAAACCATACAGTCGTTGATGATACTATTATTTTTCTGTCCTCGCAGATCTTTTACTTCATCGGATTTGGAATGTTCTGTCTAGAAGCAGTGCTTAGCGTCTGGGTTATTCAGGTCTATTTCCCAACCCAATTCTCGTTGCCAAATTCTCACAAAAGCTAGCGCTTGTTCTTTGATCTTTTTACAACATATTTCCCTCCCTTTTACATGTGCAGCAAGTATACATGTACTTCCGAGGAAGCGGCAAAGCTGCTGAAATGAGGCGTGAAGGAGCGAGAGGAGTCATGAGGGCAGCACTCTGAAGCTAAAATCGTGTACGGAGAAGAAAAGATGGCGGACTTCTGTATGTGATATAGGTTGTAAATGCCCCTTTAGTTGCAGGATTTGCGGGTAAAGATGGTTTCGTTTGAGCCTTAATTTTTTTGTTTGTTCCATATTACGCCTGTTTCGTAGATGACTCTTAAGTGCTACCTCTGTTTCTATGCTGGAGAATGGTTAGGAGGCTTGACATCACCGGCTTGCTAGAAACATCTTGTTTTCTTCATGTTTTCTGTTTCTGAAAACTGTTAATTCCATCATTTTTTTGCCTAAGTTTTCGATGACTGCATTCTTTTTTCGCTTACTACGTTCTTTCAACGATATTATGAAATTTGTAACCTTTCGAACTCGTTTCCTCCTTGGAAATCCATTGTTGTACTTGTGTGGTAGAATTTTCCTATTTACAGTGGGGATCAAGCTTCTTGATTAGGTATAGATAAGCTGCCAAACTTCTCACAACGCTGATATTTAATGTTTTGAGGCTGCTTCTGTACGGATGTAATTAATTTCTATGACTGTTGTACCTCCATGGATTAAACACATACCTCTAGTACTAAAATGAAAGCAACATGTATCCTAAGTACCCCTTGTTCGAATCTCACTGATCAGAACCCAAGAATGCTGGGTCACTCAAATTGAATCTCACCGTCCTTGTTAGCTCATTCCGCTGACTCACTTTACACAAACTAAGGTTTGATATCTCTTTCACACAAATAAAAAGCTTGAATTTCATGGTCCTTGGGCTCTGGACAACATAAAGGATCCAAATTCATATTCTAATCGAAAGATAACTTATGTTTTTTGGGGTGCAAATATAATCTGGTTTGTTACGAAGGTTATCTAACCAACCATGTTTTAAACAAAATTAAGAATGTTAAGATTATTGAACTATCAAACTCTATTTGGGTTGGAAATGCTTTTGTAAAAATGTGCTTTTGTTTATAACGCCTTTCTATTTAGAGGCACACCAACGATTTCAACAAACATTCTAGTGTTTCTTGTATAAAATCACTTTTGTGCACAAGAAGTCTCAGTTCAGAAGCATTTTTAACTTTTTTTTCGTCAAATATTGTTAGAGATGTTTTTGTTATGAATAAATTATTTCTACAGAACATTCTCATAAGCGTTTATTATCTGAAAGCGGTTTCAAATGCAAGCTTGAGGGGCAAGAGAACATTATTCTTAGATAAAGCAAAATGACATATATATCGTAGGTTTACATCACATCACATGCATAACCATACTAATTATAGTAACTATATTACCGGCTACCGGCTGCAGTACCATAACAAAAGGAACGGGAGCAGCCTATTCCTCTAGCAGTAAGCAGTACACTTCTTGCAATCTATAGTGCACCCGCCGCCTCCGCCACCGCCGCCATAACCCTTCCCTGACCGGCTGTAGGAAGTGAAGCACTTAGCAGGGCACGTCAGCTTCTTCTTGTAGCACGGACCCTTTTCCTTACACACAAGAGAAGTCCTCACAGTTCCACCCTTGGAATGCCCTCCAATAGGACCTCCATACCCTCCTCCATACCCGCCACCTACGCCGTTTCCGAACCCCTTTCCGAACCCGGGTATGTCAAACCCTGGCGGGACAAACCCGCCAAAGCCACCATTGCCGCCACCAGTAGCAGCACCACCTTTGTCCTTTGAGTGCTTAAGCTCAGCTGAGAAGGGTCCATCTGATCCGGGTCGGGCTGAGATGCCAAGTGAAGCAGTGAGGAGCAAAGTGGCTAGGAAAAGACTTGCTATTGGGATCATTTTTTGTTTTTTTTTTACTTTTTGGAAAAGCACTTGTGGAGTGTGATGAGATAGAGAATAAAAGGGAGTGTTTGGGGAAAGGGGGAATATATACAAGTGGGAGGATTGTGGTGGCAGGTGGTGGTGGTGGGGAAGGGAAAAAAAGGCATTAATTGAGGGTGTTGGACGGTTACATAGAGGTCGTCTAATGAATGGGGTGTAGGTTGGGTGCCATTATTATCCATCTTTTACTCTTTTATTTGGATAAAATGCTTTTTATTTTGGTATTATGTAATAAGTTAGGCCAAGGGTGAGCTTTTGCGCAACATTAAATTGCTTTTTTATGAATCGTGATCGAAATTTCACAGGTTCAAGTCGTAGAAACAGTTTTTTTGCAAAGTAAAAATAAGATTACATACGATAGACGTTTCCCTTGACCCTCGCAAAGTAAAAAGCTTTGTTGGTTTGAGGTAATCCTTTTATATGGTAAGTTACACATGAAGTTTGGTCCACATAATAAGTGACAATGTGATATATGTTCACATTTTGTTTTTTCTTGTAGGTCGGTCGTATTTGATTGTTATATTATCAATACAGACAAATGTATTGTAGATGAATACTCGGTATCTGCCAAATTATACACTTTCGTTTCTATTGAGTTGGTTTGGATTGTACGCTTGTGGATGACAACAAGATGATAGGCATGGCATAGGGATTACATGTTGTTAGCGCTTATTTGATTAATTGCTAGATTTTGGTCATGTCTCTTGATGGTTGGTTTCTTTGTCAAATCTCTCCAATTTGATGTCTTGTTTCTCCAATTCTGGTTTTTTAGTTTTGTTAGAATATAGATGAATCGTTGACGAAAGGAGTTCTTGCGTACGACTACAAATAATCTAGGTGATATAAAAATACAGAAGAATTATAATTTGTGTAGTGCTGCACAAGCACATGGTCCGACAGATTGTACAGCAGATATTTAAGAGAGGTAAGGCTTGGTTTAGTACTGAAGTGATTCTGAAAAAAGTTGGTATAAAAAAAAATTGGGAGCTGTTTTTGTGTTTAGTAAACATTCAGCTTCAGCTTTTTTTCATAGTTTTGGGTGAAAAAAAGCCAAAAACAAGAAGATGCAAAACCCAGCTTTGAAAAACCGGTTTTTTTTTCACATCTGTTTTACATAAAAGTTTACCAAACACTATAATACTGCTTTTTTTTTTTTCTTTTCAAAAGCACTTTTACACAAAAGTTTACCAAACACTCTGCTGCTTTATTTCATAGCTGCTTATTCTCACAGCACAGCAGAAGTAGCTTTTTTTCAAAGCACATCAATACCAAACCACCCAGTAGTGTACGTAGTGCAGAGACTGAGAACGATAGAGTTAGAATTGGGTGTTCTTACAAGAGTCATAGCAACATCATAAAACACTGAACAAATTAATGTGGCTAACTTCCAATCTGCATTTCATTTAAGATGACGGTGCCTTCTTATTAGGTCATGAGCACATGATGCAAATCGATCTGCACTTCAAAGGCTCTCTGCATTTGGTGGGAAAGTAAGGCATGCACCACCTAAGCATATACTATATATTCCATTCATATAATTCTATGAGATTGTTTCAATTATTGTTTAATTTGCAATGTGAAATCAAATTCTTTTTAGCTCTTCAAACACGTGACACACAAATATTAGACGATGACATGCTTAAGGCATTAAGATTGAATACTGGTTGCATGAACGAATCTCTCGTCCTAAGGTACGGTAGTTCACCCGATATAATGGGGTAATGCTGGATTTTGATGTTCTAACTTCTAGAATCGGGTTTTAACTTTAAAGGAATGCAGTAATCTTGGAAGCAAGTCCCGGGCTATATCTTAAGATTCATCACGGCCCTAAACCCTAAACTCTAATTTCCAGGACGTATAATTAAGTAAGCGTTGCTGTGACAGGATGGACCAAATATGGTGATATTCACTTGATAGCCAAAGCATCCTTTTCAACCTCTATAAAATGGTGGCCCCATGCCAACAAGGATCCCTGCCTTGCGAGGGTCGTGGATTGGGGGGAGGGGAGTGGAGGAGAACGTTTATCAGCAGACCATTGTTTTATAAAGTGATCATTTTCATGACTCAAACCCGTGACTTTTTGGTATAAAAAAAAACAACATTTCCATCGCCAAGCCTCGCCCTTTGTTTTCAACTTCTATATGTATATATATAATCTCCGCATGCAAATGCAATCCAATGTATGTACTTATCAAACCCTACCTATGCCTGTTTTGGTACCACTACACATTACACCCCTCGGGTCTTAGACTTGCCTAGACAATCTTGAAGCACATATTCTCCAATATCCACCCTTGAATGTTCCTATTTCATTAGGCCGGTTATATTGATCGATAGCCTAGAATTTAAACAAGTTTTGCCAAACTTCTAATTTTCAAGCTTCAATGTGGCTGTCAAAGGTGTCAATACATTGGGGTCCGTGCTTAAGCCTAGGGTAGTGGTCACTACTTACAAAGTCTTCATAACACGTAACAACTTTGATCAATATTTAAAAAAAAAATTAAAGAAAAATACAGGTCATTTAATATTACAAGAGACAGAGATTCAGGGTAAAAAAAAGTAGATGAAGACATAGAAAGACTTAAAAAGAGTATTTAAGAAAAGACATGAAGCCCTTGGGACTAATGAAAGACTTGGTGCAAAACCAAGTGTAGTAATGTTCTACAATTCATACAGCTGATTCTACTAGCTTTGTTGTTGTTGTATTTAATATTACAGTCTAATAGTATTTCTCTTCATTTATAAATGAGAAGTTTTATATTCGAATTTGGTGAATAACGATTTGATAATGTCTTTCGGCTGTCATTGGAAGATCTTGAGTCTTGGACAACCAGATTGCATGTCAAGTAGTCAAGAGGAGGAGCTGAGCAATTAAAGTTGGAGGGCCGACCACGTTTATGATCATTTTGACTTTGAGTCCATACAGATAGACGTCTCTCAAGTCTCGAACTCCCAAAAGAATTAAAAGAACAACTTGTTTTGCATCCCCCAACCCCAAGAGCTAGGTCAGATATGTTTATCTTTGAAAGTGAGTTTTGCTATCTGTCTTGTTTCTGCAAATGTGAGAATTTATGGTGTGCTTAATTTGATCTTAATCGAATGTAATGACAACTTTTTCATTCATTTAACTTATTTATTGTACAACAAATTACTTTAATGTCATGCTTAATTATAAATTCATGCTACATGGCTCGATCTAGTTAAATATCTCTTTCTCCATTGTGCTGACAACCACTTGTCTACAAGTTAAAAGATTTGATGTCAATTGCCATTAAGAAGATTGATGACTTGTATAACTAGTTGCATATTTTTCAAAAACACAGTTGCAATTTACTTCAACTTCTGCTTGTGCGTGCTTCATCATCTGTCGCAATCTCAGACTCTTAGTGTCTCTCTCGCAGATGTGGGTGCCTTATTTAATCTCAAGGCGACGATCACTACTTGGGATGCCGAGTGCGTTATACCCTCCTTCACAAAAGGTTATGGTACAAGATTAACGTTGTGTGATAATATAACTAATTGACGTGTTATAATACATATGAATTAGTTACCACATATTGTGTTTTGTTACTACATATTATTACAAAGTGAGAAGAGTCTTTTTTATGCATTCAGTGTGGTTGACTTGTAACTAAGACATCATCCTTGTTGCATCAGACACTAGAATAACACTTTAGATGAGTTAGTAACATGTAGAGATAACACGTGGTGTTACAATTACAATCAAAGTTGCTTCAAAAAAATGTTATCGTTTTTCTTTTCCTTCTTACTTTTCTTCCTTTTTGTTGGGTCTGTTTGGGCCAAATAGTTCAGCAATGTCTCTGCCATCGGATTCCAATTCAATACATTTTACATTACTTGACCCATATCACAGTTTCTCTAAATTGCAGCCCAGGCTGCTAGGAGAGACTTATTGATTACCTTAAAGCATATTGGAACACAGGCGAAGATGGTCAAGCATGAACTTTGTACATATACTTCTGCATTTTCCCCTAGTATTTCTGCCGATGCAAAATTCAGATAAATAAAGAACACAAAATTGAAAACAATAATTTACAATTTTTGTACGATCTCGGGTAATGTAATGGGTAAGGAGTTGTGTTTTCCTTGATGTTAAGCACCATCAGCAGACGTTTTTTTTATAGACTGGAGGAGTCCCAGCTAGCATCAACCGCCTCGATGATCTTGTCATGTAGATTGGCTCCAGCACTAGCAACTACGCCTCGATCAAGACCTTCCAAGTATATGCCCTTTGAAAAGTCCAGTGGACGCCCTCCGGCATCTGTAACCACCCCACCAGCCTCTTGTATGATAACAACACCGGCTGCGTGATCCCAGATCTTCTCCTTGTAGCCAGCCTTTGAAAACTTCATAAAAATCTCGGCATCCCCACGAGCTATGGCTGTGTACTTCACCATGCTGTATACTCGCAGTGGCTGCTTCCTGCAGTCACAATAACATTTGTGCATTTTATCACCTACCTGTAGGATGTAACATCTATAGCAAAGAGAGACGAAACTTTAAAAATGTGGTACCTAAGCCCAACGCTGTGAGCTAGCCCTTCTGTGAAGGAATGACTCGAATTTGCCTTCTCAACAGGTTCACAAAATGTTGCCAGTGATGGATTATCTATGGTGGACACTCGGACAGGTTTTGCAGAGTTTGGCCACTCTAAATTCTTGTTTACATGGAGCAGCGGTTGCATCCAAGCCTCGCCGCTGCCTCTTCTAGCATAAAGCACACAGCCTTTGTCCCAAGATTCTGACGTTGGTGGTGTCAATTTAGATATCATCCTATGATACCGGTGATGATAATTGAGCCATTCCTTTCTCATTGGGTAATTAGGACAGCCAAGAACCCCAAGCACAACTTCTCCATCCTCTATTAAAGCCAGAGCTATTGCATATTGGTCACCGCGTACAAAACCCAACGTGCCATCAACAGGGTCAAGTGTCCAAAATCTCCCAGCAGGGCCTCCAAGTGAGTTGCACCGACTGATGGCTTCAAGAACCTCTGTAGTCCCAAGGGCCATTTTCGGACTTTTAAGCCCAAAACGAGGCGCTTCAGCTAGACATTCGTTTACAGTTTTCACTACATCTTTTAGTACTCCACCTGCCTTTGCTTTGGACAAATTTTGAATATCTTCTTCAGCAATAATGGACACGTTGCTGCTCCCAAAAGACTCTGACAGTATCCAGCTCACAGTTGCTTGGACGCTCCAATCTGTTTGCACGATACGGTCAAGAGAGGACATGTGTTAAACTAGATTCATCTTTATTGGCCATAAAACTGCACCCAAAAAGTTGAAATTCCTACTCCATGATGGACCATTGACATGATAACAAGTTTAAAACTCAATACAATAACAGGGAAAGTACTATTTTGTAAGTTAATCCATGGAGAGATGTCCAGGGCCATAAACTGGTATACCAGCAACTACTTCATAAGACTGGTGCTAAATATTCCAGCTTCTCTTTCAGAAGCGTTCTTTTCGTGTTGAAAGCTAACTGTTCCAAATTGTAAAGATAGGATACTGACATAAAAAGCAAATTGGGCATGATTTTCCTCAATTAAGAATCCAAGTTTGAGAGGACAAACAACGATTACTAGGCATATGAGACGTTAGACTAGAGTGTTCTTGATGTTCTAAAGAAATAACCACAATGAAGTAAGATGATTAAGAGAGAAGGGGTGTGAGGGAGATTTTGTGAGGAAATAGAGATGAAATGTCTCAGTCCTACAATAAAACGACACGTTTTAAGTATAATGTTCAGTTTTGTTATGATTTAACACATGTTAGAGGAAAACATAACGACTGCCTTCGAAGGTAGAAAGACTGAGTGCTGGAAGACACTGCGAGATAAGGGCTTATGCTGCCACTATGCTTGGTCCAAAATGCAAGTTGTGCCTTACAGAGATTCTGCACTCTAAAAGGCCGCAACAACTTTAGACAAAAACATATCCACATATTCAAATTCAAGGAATAACATAACATAGGATAGGACTAAGATATAATGTCCTTTGCAGGTCCTGATATGAGTTTTGCGCGTAGGGTTCAACATTTCATCACACATTCTGCAAGTTTGTCAAAGGGTGAAGGTGGATTATGATAAAAAAACATTGAAAAACAAAGCTTGCTGCTGATGCAGAGAGGGATGCAGAAAGGAGGCATCTGTCAAGTTCCTCTAAGGAAACTGTGACTAGCAGCATCACTCCTTTTCCATTATTCAACGTGTTTTAACTTCAAGAAGTCATAATTTTCCAAAAGAACAAACTTTAATAACAATTTCTTCAAATCCAAACAAATTCTCAAAGAATCATAACAAGTGAAATCTAAATTAAACCCAAATAACCAAAATCAACACTAATTCCAAATTCAAGTATTACTGAAACAAAAAAGGTTAGAGATTCAACTGACCTGCAACAGTGACAGGGGAATTGTCGTCTTTGGATTGGACCCCATCGCCGTTCTTCGAAATCAAACTGTTCTGAACCCTCTGGCAGAGAGAGCAAGCCAACTGCACAGCTCTGACAGCCACATCCAATTCCTGGGAGTAATTTTTCACAGGCTCCGGGGCCAAAAGACTCGAAGTTTTCAGGTCCTCCATTACAGAGAAGGATCGGGTTTTCCCGAACTTGGATAAGCAGTAGCCAAGTTTCCCTGAAAAGTTGAGGTGGGTTTTGTTGCTGCGTATGAAGTTGTTGTTTTTATTCCATATTTCAAGTCCCAAATTGTGTGAGATTTTTATAGCCATGGTTGAAGAACGTTGTGTTTGCGTGTGAGAGTGAAAGTGAAAGTGTGAGTTTTGTGTGGATTTGGAGTGTGGGTTTAGGTGACGTTGGAAGGGTGGCAACAAAAAGGGTAATGAATGGAAGGTGATAGATCATGATTGGATGAGGGCCTTGCTTTATTTATAGGGATTTGGATCCTCTCCAGAGCCCAAGAAGAGGATCCTCCTGACCAACACACGTGGATCGTTAGAGTTTCATCCAACAATTATGATTATAATAACTTTAAAGGGATCTTCCTGTTTGTAACCGTTGGATAAAAATGCAAATTGCCCACATATGTTGGTTAGGAGGATCCTCTCCTTTTTACGGTTGGACATTAATGTAGGGTGTTGCTGTCCACAAAGATGGTCATTCCTCTCATTCTTGTGAAACTCATTTTCAATATGATCATTGGATTTTCTACGTGGAATAATCTACTGTGATGCTTTCAGGTTTTAACATAAAATTAATTGGTTATATGAAAAGTATTTGATCTTCCTTATAAGTCCATACATTTTCATTTCTCGATGGTGAAGTAAGCCTAAGCTCATGAGCTTATTATCCTAGGTCGAAACAAGTTGATACGATTCTTTTTTTTTACGTCCTCGTGTCCCTTCCTCTCATCATGGTGGGATTCATTCTCAACAATCCATGCATCTTTTTTAACTTTCACATGCTTCCTGTTAATTTATGTCATTTTAATTTTTTAATTCATTTGATTTGATGGTCAGAAATTGAAAAAGATATGTCGAATATAAAAGAGAGTGTATAAGTAGTATCACCTTTAATAAGTACATGAGAGTTTAGCTTAGAATAAGTGATAAATACAAAAAGTATTTTTACTTGAACAATATTTAGGTGCACCTTTGGTTTAAGAAAAACTAATGAGGTGGATCGATCACGTAGTTGGGAAGTCCAACTCTCACAAAATTATGAGACGTCTAGTATTTTGATCCTTGATTTTAAGATGATCTCACTTAATGTGAGAGCTACCTTAATCAAACAGTCATATCAAAATAAATAAATAAATAAATAAAAATTCTTTTAATTGTCTACCCTAGTGTTAATTAACGAATTTTTAACATTTTTACATCATAATAAAAGATGTTTCTTTTCTAAATGACACTCTGCAAAAAAGTTAATCAATTAAATTAATATTGTTAGAATTAACCGAATTTCACATGCTCGACTATTTTCTGTTACTTATCATCTTGACTGCTAAATGCATTGATCATGTGATCTAGCTAATGCATATGATGGGTAATAAAAGAAAGAAAAAAGATTTCATCAAAAATAGTTGGACTTTTCAATTACGTGTTTACTTTGCAAAATGGGTAATAAAAAAATTGAACCAAAGTTAGTCATTGTGAGCTCATCAAAACGTAAGCAATGCAAGTTTACATACACTTGACAAAATTATGTTTTAGAAGAGGTATATATGACAAGAAAGATAGGCATATGTTTGATATATCAACAACAACAATAACAAAGTCTTATTTCACTAAATGGAGTCGGTTGTATAAATCATAAAATATTACTGTGCTCGGTTTTGTCACAAATATTTCGTTAGCTCCAAGTACTTCATGTCTTTTCTTAAAGTATCTTTTCAAATCTTCTTATGTCTTTCTCCACCAATTTTACCTTAAACATTTGTCTCATAATCACATATTTCCATATTGGATAGAATAAGCACTTTGATGCAATTGGTAGGCAAGTTGAACCCATGTCCATAGTCTTCTGACACAATAAGACTTGATGTTTATCTTAATTAGTGCATGGACCCATGTTCTAATCAACAACTTCATGATTTCTAGTAGTTTTTAGCTTACTTGTAAGTGCCTGCTTATATCTACTTTTGGAAACTTGTGATTACCAATTCAAGTTGAATTACTTGGGTCCGGAATTGGAGCACATCTTTTCAGTTTTATTTTCATTTTAATGATCACGCCGGTTGCGTTAATAAATACCGAGAAATTTAGCTAAGAATAAGTCATATATACAAAAAGCACTTTTATTTGAACAATATTTAGGTGCACCTTTGGTTTGAGAAGTGCTGATAAGGGGATCCGATCACGTCGTTGGTAAGTCAAGCTCTAACAAAATTATGAGACTTCTAGTGTTTTGGCCCCATTTGGTCTTACGATGAACTCACTTAGAGTGAGAGCTACCTTAATCAAACAGTCATACCAAAATTTATCTCTTCTAATTATATACTGTAGTGTTGATTAACGTTTTTTTATCATTTTTATGTCATAGTAACATATGTTTCTTTCCTAAATGACACTTTGCAAAAAGTTAAATCAAATTAAAGGTTGTGAGTAATTAACGAAATTTCACATGCTCGAAGTCCAATTAACTATTTTATTCTTCATCTTGACTGCCAAAAACATTGATTATGCATATGATGGTTAATGGGATTTCATGACAAATAATTGGAATTTTGAAATAAGTGTTCAATTATGCAAAATGGGTACAGAAAAAAATAATTGAACCAAAGTTAGAGTCATTGTGAACTCATCCGAACGTAAGCAATGCAAATTCATGTACACTCGAAGAAAGTATGTTTTAGGAGTGGTATATGACGAGAGATGAGCATACGTTTGTTTGATGAGACGGATCTGTGACATCATTTTTCTTACAAAATTATTGACACACATGTTTTTAGAGCTTGCTTTGTAATGTATTTTAACGATCCAAATTGTTTATTTTTAGGTCTTCCCTTAATGATCATGTTTACCAAAATTCACTCAAATATGAAACTATATGACTGTTAGAGTCATTTTTTCACTACAAATGAATGTCTTAATAGTTTTAGATTTGTCTAAATTTTTACAAAAATGATTTATGAATGATGTCCTAAAAGATATACGATTTAAATAATTTAAATAATTATAAAACGGGCTCCAATAAAAATACATATAAAAAATTGTGTAATAAAAGTGATGCCATGAATTCCAATCATATTTGATAGATCACGACATTAAGCAACTAGATTCTTTTTCATTACTTTTCAGTAATTATGTTCATATCTCTGATACAAATAACACTTGGTGTTTATCTTAATTAGTGGATGGGCCCATATTACAATCCTCAACTTCATGATTTCTAGTAGTGTTTACTGTATATGTCTTACTCGTCGACTTCATTTTAGGTTCCTCGTAGCGCTTTTTATTTGAGATGGATTTTTATATTGACAAAACTCTTTATTTTTGTCTTTGATAATGAAAATTGATAGAAATAGTTATTGAATTCAAATCATTGTGGTCGTTTCGTAAAAGATCATTCAATATCGTTGTTAAATGATCATGTGAACAACTAACCACCTTTTTTAGGATATTTTTGTCAACCCCTCTACTTAACAAGGATATTGACAGAATTTTCACAGAAAAAAAAAATGATTTACGTGGACAAACTCAATAACCACTTTTATTGATTTTCATTGTCAATGATTAAAGTGAAAAATTATATCAATCTCAGATATTATTTTGTAGGCGAAGTGTGCCACTTTAGTGGTCAGTGCAACACACTGCCTACTTTATTTGAAATTTTGAAAGCAGATAGGCTCCAAAATCTCTCCCACGATGGTCGAATTGGCAAGAATCTAGTAGCAGCAAATCATTCACAGCAACATGAATGGTGTTGATATCTTGATGAAAGTTTTCTTAACCTGTTGTGTGTAGTGGTGCTTTTAGATTCTTGCGGCTCAAGTTTTGAAGTTTTGAACAGGACGGCAGCCTCAACTTGTCGTTGACTTGTTATTACTTCAGCGTTTCAATAGCATGACGTAGTTCAATTCTCTTGTTTTGGAGATAAATTTGACCTGGTTTTGTTGATGATTGCATTCTCGCATCGCACCCACACTCGCACTTCATTATCTCTATTATAATTTAAAGATTATTTTCAGATAATTACCACCGGCAATGTTCGACAGATGTGAAGTTTTATCACAAAATACCTTATTAATAATTAAAGTAAAATTATAATATTTAAACTTATTTTATTTTATTTTATTATTATTTTTTTTTTATAGAAATATGATCAGTGTGGAATATTGTAACATGTTGATTGATCTCTAATTAATCGATGAAGTTTTTGCAAAAATCATGGGGCAGCCAGCCCACATAGCAATTCATATGTATTTTTGGGCTGCCGCCATTTGTTTCTTTTGGGGTGGTAGAGGGGCAGTTGCATTATAATTAGATTGAGCCCAATATCGTAATTGAATTTGGGCTTGATGGTGCATAAATTGTGCAATCAATCGATTTCATCTTTATATATAAAATGAATTTGCTTTTTACTTTTTTATTTGCCCCTCCCTTAATTGCGAATGAGGATTCTCTTCGAATCTTCTTTGTGAGAATTTTGGGATCTTTATATTGTTTCCGTTCATCAAATATCGTACGGTCAGTTTTTGTCAAGTACTATTTGTGTTTAATTTTATATAAAAATATTTAAAATGATTTATTATCGCACGATATACGATAAACAAACACGATGTGAAGATCTCCAAATCATCGGAATGAGGATCCTCCTTAATCCAATCTTAGAACAAAGGTGAAAGCTAAAGGTCCCCAAGTTCTCTGAACTTTGAAATTTGAATTGAAATGAACTTGTCAACTTCACAATAATTCATCTTAACTAGTGGAGGTTATTATTTCTTTGTCCTAGCTTGGGTGAGACACATAACATCATTGCTTATGTCATCTAACAATGTGAAATATCATCATCGATTACGTAGTGCTACGAGGATGAATCATCAATTACCTGACACTGGAAGAACTACGCAGATGGCTAAACTTTAGTCCAACATAATTTTCACTTTTAGATCATCTGCAATGGTTGGGCTAAAAGCTAAATATTTTAATCCAGAAAATTTAACTTTTAACCTAGAAATAGCTTTTCTGCTTTAATCGTTTTAGCCTAAAATTTTAGTTTGGGGTTATTAAAGAACGAACTTAGGTTATTTTTTTTGTTAAATTAATTTTTTTTGTTAAATTAATTTTTTTTTAAATAAATATGTAGACTATCGTAAATTAATTTTATGAACATTTTAATCTAAAAAAATTTAAATTCCGATA